AGCTACCAGGCGGTGATGCCTCACTTCGTGTGCCTGGCGGACGCGTTCCCGCAGCCCGTGCGGTCCTCCAAGCTGACCAAGGGCAAGGGCCGGCTGCGGCGGCCGCGCCAGTCCCGCTTCAAGACGCAGCCGGTGACCTTCGACGAGATCCAGGAGGTGGAGGAGGAGGGGGTGTCGCCCATGGAGGAGGAGAAGGCCAAGAAGTCCTTCCTGCAGAGCCTGGAGTGCCTGCGCCGCAGCACGCAGAGCCTGTCGCTGCAGCGGGAGCAGCTCAGCAGCTGCAAACTGAGGAACAGCCTGGACTCCAGCGACTCCGACTCGGCCCTGTGAGGGCGCCGCCGGCAGCGGCAGCAGGGACGCACGCCTCCGGGGCCCGCCGGGGACCAGCGTGCGAACCCCGGTAGGGCCCGCGCCCTGGGGACCCCGGGGACCCCTGAGGACCCGGGACGACCGCCCCTCGCGCTCGCTGGGACTCCCGCCAAACAGAACTGGTCGGTGCGCCTTGTGCTGCGCTGGTCCTGGGTCCGAGCGCGCCGGGGGCGCCAGGAAGGGAGCCGCTTCTCTGCCCTTGTACATGTTTATTTTTAAACTCTGCCCAGTACGAACTCTGCTGTGAGTGTGTGCGGGGAGCGCACCCGAGCCGGGTCGCCGGCGTCGCCAGGGCTCCCTGGAGAGCCGCTCCACGCCCTTGCCCGATGGGTTGCAACTCCGATCTTGCACACCGCTCCACCGCCGCGCCCCCCAGCGCACCCAGTGCACACTCACGCCAACATACGCTCGCTGAACACTTTTATAATCGTTAGGCGCGGCCGATGGGACTTGGTGCAGCGCAGCCGCTGCTGTGGCCGGAGGATGGGTATTTATTTTTGCATTGCGATGGCTGGCGGCGTTTATTTAACGGTCTTTTTACCTGGATATGTCTATGAGGCTCCCGAACGGAGACAAATAAAGTCAATATATTTGCACAGTGCATTTCTCCAGGTTCTTGACCTCTTGAACCTTCAGGGCCCAGGCTCACCAGACTGGGAGGTTGGGGGCGGGGGGGGGGGTTGGGTGTGGCTGGAATGGGAGGCCAGGATCCCCGAGTGGAGGTAACTCCACGAGCTTCGCTTACTGGAACGAGGTCGCGTCCCCCTGCCCGGGTCCATTGCTCGCCTCCCCAGGTGGATCCACACCTGCCTCCCTGCCTCCCTCCGTCCGTGATGGAGTTGAAGCCGCTGGTGAGGCGGCAGTCGGCGCTGTGAGGATGGAGGGAGCCCTTCTCCTGAGGCTGACTCCGCCGGGAGGCTGGGGTCAGGGTCGTCGCCCTCCACCCGCCCCGGAGGACCCACCCACTCCGTGCCCTTCCCGGTGGCGGGTGGGGAGATGCCTGAGCCGGCAGTGGAAGACTCGGGCGGGACATTTGGGTGGGTAGTGGGACTCGAGGGGGGCTGGGAGCCCTCCGAGTGGGCGAGAGTGGGTGCCCCCCCCCCCCACCTCCTGCCGCTCCCTGACGCAGAGGAGTGCCCGCGACCCTGCGCCGCGGGAGCAAACAGCGGTTGTTTTCAGTTCTTCGCTTCCTGGGTGCAGCCCTTCACCTGGCCCTCTCCAGGGTTCCGCGAGGAGGGTGGGGCATGTCTTAGGTCAGAGCCTGAAGGGCGCTGGGGTACCACCGAGTCTCCCCACCCCCTTTTGTTTACAGATGAGAAAACAAACCTTCGCAAGCAGCGAAGGAAAGGTCACGTGGAGAGTAGCTAGGAGTCGCAGCCAGCTCCCCCGACTCTGCGTCCAGGGCTCCTAACATCACCGGAGCCTGTCTTTCTAGTGCTTTACAGCAGCTGCCCCGCACCCCTGTCTCCGCCCTAAGCCCTCGGGGTTGGCAGCGTCACAGGGCCACTTGGCAGCGGTGGTGATGGGGTAATAAACGACATTCGGTCGAGGATGGCAGGATCCCCACTTGGAGCCCCTACCATCCCACCCCTCCACGATTACTTCAGGGTTGACCCACCATTCCAGGCTGGGAGCTTGGGTGCTTTACCGACTTCTTTCTCCAGGTTTCCCAGTTTCTGTGCTTGGGCGCCCTCTGGTGGTGGGGGCTGAACCGACTTTTACTCTTCACACCGCACCTCTTGTAGGCCCTGGCTCTGCAGAAAACGAGAGAGCAGAGGAAATGAAATGAAGAAACAAAAATAGGAGCAGCTTTTTATGTACTGAATTGTTAAATAAGGCCAATTAGATCTTTTTAAAAATTATATATTTTCATTGATTTCAGAGAGGAAGGGAGAGGGAGAGAGAGAGAGAGAGAGAGAAACATCATTGATGAGAGGGAATCATTGATTGGCTGCCTCCTGCACACCCCACACTGGGAATTGAGCCGGAAACCTGAGCATGTGCCCTTGACTGGAATTGAACCCAGGACCCTTCAGACCACGGGCCGACGCTCTATCCACTGAGCCAAACCAGATAGGGCGGCCAATTAGATCTTAAAAAAAAAAAAAAAAAAAAAGGAAACAAAAATAGGACCCACAGGGCCTGAATGTCCTCATCACTGGCTCAAAGGGGACTGGGGTCTGTGGTGCTGTCCTAGCCCCAGGGAACACACTGGCCATGGCAGCCGGCAGTGGCAGCCAGTTCCACTGTGGCCAGGGCTCCTGACAGAAGGCCCTTCCTTGCAGACGCCTCAGCCTGGGAGGCAGCTGTGAGTGAGGCTTTGATCCTGATGTCCGGCGGCTGCCATGGCTAGGCTGGTTTGAGCACCTTGGGGTGGGAGGAGGGTTGCTGAACTCTGAATCCCCTTACTCCCCTTCTCTTCCCTCAACTTGTCCCCCACCCTCCCTTATCTTATATCTTCAGCAGTAGTTCCTCTTTTTACTTTTCAGGAGCTAGTGCCCCAAACCTTCCCAGTGGCTGTCACACCCTGTAGGCCAGAGATCCTGGCTTGGGCGTCTCCCCTGTGGGCACCACAATACCCCTCTTCCTGTTGGAAAGCCTCCTTCCCCAGCTGAAGGCCTGCGTGGGTCACCCTGGCCAGCATCCGGGGGTTGTTGTGGGGACCACGTCCCATCACCAGCTCCTGCTCAGCTACTCAGTCAGTGCTTCCGCAGCGTTTGTCGGGTTAAGATGAGTAAGGAGGCAGTGAGGAGGATTGATGCTCATCTGCCTGCTTCCTGATTTGTCTTTAAATTATTCTACTGAATAAATGTTCCGCATTTAATCAAGCTAATTCCCCACTCTCTGGTTTAAAAGTGAGTCCAATTTGTCCCAATTTCTTTGTTTTGCCTACAACTGGCAATTAGTTCTCAGGGTTGGATATAGAAAGACATTTGGAAGAGGCAGTGACATGGACAGAGGGGCGGGGCAAGGGAGGGGGAGGTTGGGATGCCCCCGTGTTAGAGGCAGCAGGCTGGTCTGGGATGCTCTCTGCTGGGCATCTCTTCCCTGCACAGCAGAGAAAGGAGGGGGCGGGAGGGGCTCCTATGAGTCCCTATGGAACTGCTGGGGCTCAGATCCTCCCGGTGGCTTGAAGGCATTCCAAGGCAGCACACAGCTCCACAGAGGCGGCTGAGTTGGGCCTGGAGGCCAAATGGTGGGAGAAGAGGAAAGAGAGGGCGAGACATGGGCTAAGAGAGCAAGAGAGCATGAGAACCAGAAAGATGGGGAGGACGAAGGCCCTCAGAGAGACGGGAAACTCGGAGACATGGAGAGAGGGGGAAACACAGAGAGAGTCAGGAGCCAGAAATTTTCAAAAGATGGACAGAAATGAGAGAGAGAAAGAGAGAGAGAGAGAGAGAGAGAGAGAGAGAGAGAGAGAGACTCAGAGAGAGTAGGAGGGAGGGAAGGAGAGAGAGAAGTGCTCTGGAGAATGGGCATCAGAGGAGAGAGGGTGTCTCTCAGGGAGTTGCTTCGCTGCGGAGCTGGGGTGCGTGGGAGCCTGCCCAGCCGTCTGGATTTACAGCCCTTGGGATTTGCAGGCTTGTCCAAGGAGACACCTCCTTCCTTCCCGTCCCCGTCTGGGCCTCAGCCCATAGTCCTGGCCTGGGTGACCAGTTTTCAAACAAGCTGGATCCCAGAGGAGGTAACAAGTGGCCATCCCACCTCCAGCTGGCAGCCTCTTCTAAATATTTCTCTTTGGCTCAGGGGAGTTATTTATCAGAGTGTTTCTTGGACCATTCTGAAGGCCAGCTTGGCCTCTGCAGCTCACTGTGTGCCATTCTGGGCCCGCTTGGTGTGGGGGTGAGAGGGATGGGCTGTGTGTGGTTCCAGGGAATGGGTCAGCCGTGGACTTGAGCATCCTCCCTTAGGGAGCACATTTGCGGTGAACCCTAGGTCCACTGGGCTCTGGCAAAATAGGAGGAGATAAAGGCCGCCGTTGAGTGAGCTCCTCATATGGGTACTTCACTTCCGTCCTGATAACCTGTCCCAGGCATTGTACAGATGACAAAACTACAACGGGGTTAGGTTTCTTGCCCAATGCCACATAGCTAGTCAGTGGTGAGCTGGGTTGCAACCCAGTATTTTTTTTTTAAATTTCAAAGCCTGTGTTCTTTCAAGGATACGAACCCCAACTTCTTACTGTCACACCCTGTGGTAGCCATGAGAATGGACCTTGCAGACCTCCTGTTACAGGAGAATCTTCCAGAGCAGTTCTGGCTTTGAAATCCATCCCATGCTCCCCCACAGGCTGCTCCCCACCAATGCCTGTGTGCATGGCTTGGAAACTAAGGCAGAACTGTCCTGGGAGGCCTGAGATTCCTTTGTTGGTGGACTTGGGCTCAAGGCTTTCCCGATGGCTCTGCAGGAGCTTTCTTAGACTGCAGGGCTGTCCATGGACACCTCTCCCGCTCTCCTCTCAGGGTCTCTTGCCTCGTAGCCTGCTGGCTCCCTCTCTGTTTCATTCCACACAGGCATGTCTCCTACTGAAATCCTTGCACGCTTAATCCTATTGTCAATCCACTGCTCAGAGAACCCTGGCTGGCACCCTCTTCCACCTCCCAGCGGGTGCCCGGAGCTGCGGGGGACACGACTTGCCTTGCAGTTTGCATGTCACTGGACCATGCAGAACCCTGTGTGGCGGAGAGGACGCCCTTCCCCAGACATTCTGCACTTGAATCTGGAAGTGTAACTAGGTGGAGTTTGGGATCCACTTCCTCGGAGGGGGCGGAGCGTGTTCTGTTGTGGGAAGATGACATTGACACCTGGCCGCCAGCCGGGCGGCCCACAGTGCAGACCGCAAATGCTCCCCTGGAGTCTGTTTTCCGCATCTTCCTGGGCACAGGGTCGGCCGATCTCTGTCTCTTCTGTGAGAGCATGACCACGCGCTGAAGCTCTCTGCAGAGGGATGAGCAAGCAAGCGCCTGCCACCCTGGGCCGGGCCGTAAGACGTGGGCAGGTCATTCTTACTTTTCCCTAAAGACAGACCAGGGGCCTACCTGCGGCTGCCATTGACCGAGCATGACTGCAGTGCCCGGGTGTCTGATGACACTGAGCTGCCTGTGGGTGGCTGTGGAATGTGGACTCCTGTCTTCCTGAACCTGCTGCATTCCTGCTGGGTCTCTTGGTAGCAGCCCGAGAGTCCTCCCTCGGCCATTCTGACCCAGAGCAGGTTTCCTCATGACAGGGCCGTGTCCTGTTCCCCTCATCAGGGTGGGGATATGCGACTCCCATCCGATGTGCTCCAGCTGTGGGGACGGGGAAGATGGCAGTGGTTCTGTAAGAGTGCTTAGTGGGAAGTGGGATGTGCTGGACTCCAGCCCTGCTCTGCTGCTCCCTTGCATGTGGCCTTGAGCAAATCACTTCTCTCTTTCCCTGATGGCTTTCTTACCTTTATGTTCTGAAGTTTGTAAAGGCCCCAGGCTATCATACAGCACCTTAGAGCCATAGGGTCCTGGCCCTGGTGGCTGGGCAGAGGCAGCGTTCATACAGACTTGGCACCCAGCTCCTTCATGCCTGATGGGGAGATGGAGGCCTTCATCCCACCCCTCTTCCCCAGCC